ATGTTTATCATCACATTTATAATTACTTTTTTTAAAAAAACAGATGAAGAAAACAGTACTTTGATTAGTAAAACAATACAATTTCAAGATAATCTTGAAGACATTAATATGAAATTGACCTCCATTACAAARCAACTGAAATCTGAGAAGTCTGTCAACACTGCTTTGAAGGTAAAAAATGAACCAACTGCACCATTGGTTTGAATTATTCATCCTGCTAGGGTGCATTGCTCAATTCATTTTATAAATCAACACATCTTTTGTTGAYGGGTAGAATAATAACATTAAAAGTCACATTTTTTTGTTCCTGTGTAGAAACAAATGAATTTCTTGAAGAAGCAGGASGTTGAAGTTGCTGAAGCAAAGAAAGAAGCCATGTCATCTAAACAGGAACTCCAGAGGCTTTCAAGGTATAAACAGCATATTAGTATAAACATACTAATGGTCTATCACTCATACTGTGCTGTGATTGGCTACTCTACTAATGGTCTAATTTGTGATAGACCACTCGCGGGAAAATCAAAATGGCGTCATCTCATTAATAAATAATTTTAAGAATATTTCAATTTGTTTTCATTATTTGACCGATTAGTATGTTTATACTAAAACAATTAGACCTCTCGGCCTCGTGGACTACGAGCTAATATCCCATTCGGCCTCGCGGACTCGGCCTTATGGGCTATTAGCTCGTAGTCCACTCGAGCTCGAGGTCTAATTGTTAAATATACAACAAATAACTGACAACAATTATTATGATTGGAGTTTAGTCACCTCTGACAGTCTTTGTTATGAACGATAAAAGTAGAGGCTGCAAAGGAGACTAAACTCCAATAATAATAATTGTTGTTAGTTATTCATGTAACAGAGTTTATGTGCATACTGGTGGTGATGAACTACATTTAGTATACATCAAGCAATAGCGTATTTGCATTCTTTTCTCGGTTGACTCTGGGCTTCCTGTGTTAAAAGTGAGGCAAAGGAAGCCCAGCTCTGCTGCTAGCATCTCATTAGCTTAAATCCAAATTAAAGAAAGATACTTTGTTTATTCTCTTTGACAACTATGCACGAATACTGTAGATATATGTACACGGAAATGTTAAGTTACTAAGTTATCATCATCATTATCCACATTTTCTGTCTTTCACAGGTTGAAAATAYTGGTAGAAGGAAGCCGGGAAGATGTTGACGATATGCTTCATAGTATAAGACATGAYGGCAGTGCAACATCAGAGATGATCACACAGCTAGTAATATTGAAAAAGTATGTCATTCTATTTATCATTCATTTATAACATTGCTTTGCATGTCCAATATTATATGACTTGATAGGGTTTTGTACCAACTGACTTGTTTCTGTTTGCATCAGGGAGCTTGAAAAGATCAAAGAAAGCAGAAATAAAGCCAGGCAGGCCAAGGAGAATTGTGAGAGAGAAATGACTAAACTYAAACAAGAGGTAAAACGTGTTCATATTCTTTCTTTTCAATTTTCTTTCCTTTCTCTCAATTCATTTTAGTTTTCATTTCCTTTCCTCTTTCATCCTTGCTTCACTCTTTCTGTTTCATTTCTTTTCTCTTGGTCCAATTTTTTTTCGTTTCATCAGGTCTTYCTTCCATCCCCTATTTGTTCTTTTATTCCATATTGATTTGCTRCACGTTAACCCATACTTTTWTTTCATGCGYTCAAAGCTGTCATCTAAAGACATTGAGGTTCATGAAGCCAAGGAGCAATTGCAGCTGACAGAAAGTTACTTATCAAGATCTGAAGACGAAAATTCTGTAAGTCGAATTTTGAAGTGAACTGCCATATCAAGCCTAGTACTCAGGCCTTGTGAGCACGAGAGGGTCCTGGGGCGAGTGACGTCACACCAAGTTTTAAAGGGAGTAGCCTGGTGACTGAGCTGTCATGATCTTTATTTCATAGAGCCTAAAGAAGAAGCTRTCAAAGTTAGAGCAAGCTTTCAATTCTCCCAGCCCGCGCAGTAGCGCCATTACAAGACTCATGAGAGAGAGGTAACCGACAGCGACATTTTGCYTTTTCCAAACATGAAGATTTGGAGATGTCAATTTGTTGGTTTATTTATCATTTATAACACTGATCCTTTGTTGTTCAAAGTCCGGCCCCAATGGAGCTAAAACGACCAAGGCTAACAGCTCCAGAAGACGACTCAGAAAATGACATTCTGGCAAATAACGGGCCTTCAAGACACRATRAACCAGATACCGAAATGGARCAAGCCGCTAAAGGGTATTACAATAGACAACGTCTGAGATGGRTGGTMGCTTTCAAAAATACCATGGGCTCGCATGGTAACGAAGTATTTTCGGCCAAAAAAGTATAAACGAGTTTTGCAAAAATGTCCAAATATACCTCGTCTTAAGCGCGCGCCCTTCCTTGATATTTTTTGAAAGCGTGCGCGCATATCAGAAATCGTCTTTTTWTCTCTGTTATGGTGTGGGAGCAATGGCGGGCGATGTCAGATGCTCTGCAGGAGAGTCTCCCTCCACGTCGCATTCCTTACTGTTTTCATTTCAATCTTCTATTCTTTCATCTTTGCAGAATGGGACTTCAAGTTGTCAAAACAACCTCTGCCCAGTTCAAGAAGCCCATCCGTGCCCCACAACGACCTCCTCTGCTAACGTTACACGCTAARAAACGACGARTCGAGGAGGGTGTGATAAGGAAGGGTTTTGACGGGCTTGGAGGMCATACACAGTTTTTAAAGCCGTCCAAACCAAGAGGTCCTATAAAGAAAGTAGCAAGACCAGCAACTATATCGAAGTTCATCAAGACAACAGTCGATGGAAAGCCGCCGCCATTACCGGTATTGAACCTAGATGATTTGTGAATACTGTAGTTTAACCTAAATACCATTTGCGCGACGGGTCTCGTGTTGTATGTAATCAACCGTGAAATTGCTGCGACTTTCAAGTAATCAATAGATCTCTGAACCTTTTACGTCACTACTTGATTTTCAATGCATTGTGGGATCAATTTCTAGAGAAAACAAAAGAAATCCTCCATGTTCTGTCCCAAACATGTCCTACAATGCATTGCGTATACGATATATGACGTAAAAGCTTCAGAGGTCTATTGGAATGTTCTGGCAATCATTGAAAGCAGTCAATCACGAATGGTCACTGAACTGATACAAATTCAAAAGACTTGGTTGTATTACATTACATAGTGCACGTACAGTAGCCAATACAATTTATTGATCATTGATGTGTACAAAGTCATATAACATAGAAGCCGTGACGGAAGAGTCATATGGGAAAGTAGAGAAAGATCTATTTATTTGTCATTTTGGCAGTTGAAAGAAGAATGTATTTTATGCCTGAATTTCCCATCAACCCTTTCGGTCATAGCTCGTATGTTTGATTTTGAATCCAATGTGAGCGAAATACACCTAGTTACAAAAACGTTGGCTGAAAATTTACTGATTTAGGAACTTATAAATTATACATTAAAAGAAAAGATCATCACTGAAGCTAAAGACTTTTTTTGTATTTTAAATTGGCAAAAAAGGAATTTTTCTTGGACGTTTTTGTTATAGGTTCATATGTAAATATTGTATACATTTCGATGATATTAGTGAATTATTGAGATGCTAATAATGTATAATGGTTTATTGTGGTATAATACAAGCATTAAATCATTCTGGACAAGCATTGCGGTTCATCCTCGACTTAGCCTCGTGTTACGGGACACTTTACTGTAGTTCATTTATTTCAATTGATGGAAATTTGAATGAAATCTGTTCAAGTTTTATCTCCGCACTGACTTTGCGCCGAGACTGAATTCATTCCTCTGTTTGCTGTCCGAAGTTCCGCGCGGACAAACTCATTAGTGTTCATATTGGGATGGACCAGTATTATATATATCTTAGGACCAAAGATACACAATAGAAGACCATACCAAGATAATAATGCTGTGGCATTTGAAATAATAGTAGCATAGAACCCTATTAGGAATGAGTTGATAGGATAGTAAGCAAGCCACGATATCAACAATATGTACAAAGATGAACCAATGTATTTGGTCTCATTAAAGTTGCCTGGCAAATTCCTGGCTTTGAATGAATGGTAAATACAAGCAAGAGTTATAATAATRAGGTAACAAAGACTTGAGAGTTGAAATCCCATGCCWGTCTTTCCGCGGTACGGTTTGCAGGAAAACTCGTGTTCAATTTGATGCGCGACTTCACGCTTTTCTTCAATGACGTAAGGGCTGTCAAGGAGACACCATAGCAACGCAAACGTCACTGGACATGTGTTTAGAATGATTAACGTCAGGAACTGRAGTTTGGAGTTGATGACAAAGCGCTTAAGGGTTTTTGGGATACCGCTGACTTCTAGTTGGAATGCGCCCGCGAGCCGGATAGTTTTAATGTACAGAATTGAGATACATAAACAATGTATTGTGTAACGCCAGACATTTTGGAAAATACAAATGTTYGCTGTAGGAAAGGCAATGTGGAGTATCGCCATTATAAAACCAAATATRATGATRAGGAGTAGAARGAAACTCAGCTCGCGGTTTGATGCTTTGACCAGCGGTGTACCGTGATACTTGATGAACAGTACTAGGGAAATGAGTGAAAAGAGAATCCCAAGACCTGTAAAGAAAGAACACTACATCATTGTCATCATCATTGTCATCGTTATTATCATCAACAATATCATTATCATCATCATCATTACTATCAGCATCATCAACATCATAATCATTGTCATCATTGTCGTCATCGTCACTATTTTGGTCATTATCATTGCAGTTTTACCTGAAAGAACAGTAAAGATTATTCCCATATCTGACGCGATTGTTACATTAACTATAACTTCCTTCAGACACTCATTCTTGCTGCTACTAGCAACTGTCAATCCTGGACACTTGACGCATTTGGACGCTCCGTACTCCGTACTAACATTCCCATCTTTACAAGGAGTGCATTCCCAGCAACAGTTCTTTGGTGTTGTCTGCCACGTTCCTGGAACACACCTACTCATGCATGATGACCAAGGTGATTTCTTCTCTGGCACCGTCCACTTGATCATGTTTCTCTTAATCTCAAGACCACGTNTAGATATTCTAGAAGGTCGTTTGGGTCGATGAAGGGGGATGTTTTGGGACACTTCTTGGACGAATCATGACAGTTATACATGGCATTTAMTGCTTTACCAATGGCTTGAACGGCGTCGACGAGGTAAGCCGAATATGGATTGTATAAATCGTTTAGCGCACTGGAGAAATTCACCGTTCTATGATCACAAATYGGAAAACGTTTGGACGGAAATCCACGCAGAGTACAATTGAATTCAAGCTCRAATAACTCATTCCAGAGCTTGTTTCCTTTTGGTGGATGCTGCAGCATTTCCAAGAGATGTTTTTGAACTAGTTGATCATTGTAATGGCGATGTGCAGTTCCTAARAAAACACCKTCTACTTCATGTCCAATCTTGTTGAAAAAGCTACTTGATAGAGCCATGATATCGTCACTAAGAATCCACACTCTATCGCGAAGTCCCATTTTCTTTGCGGTCTTTAGGAAMTCAATAGACTGTCCACTATTTGCCCATAACACTATCACTCTCACAAGCTTTTGTTTTATCAACTTATTAATGATGGACTCCATCTTAGTTTGGTAACCAAGYCTTGGGAAGTACTCCGCTGACCCSGTRCAGAACGTTTTTTTCTKCTSGGCTTCWTTATCAAGAGCRATAGCTCCATAACGACCGTAAGAATGATCCACAGCTACTACCCCAACATAGCTCCAGTTAAAGGTAGTAATAAGATCGGCCATGGCTCGTGCTTGAAGCCCGTCTGGTGGAATTGTACGGAAGAATGTTTTGTATGAATTCAGTTGCTCGCTTGTCGAGAATGGGCTGATAACAGGAATATCAACTACACCAAGCAGCTCTGCCACGAGRACTGTTGTACCAGAATCGTGTGCACCAATCACGGCAGAGATTTGAGTCGGTGACTGCGCAGGCGTAGACTTTGAATTTCCAATTCTGTATTTGGAGTGTGCGCTCAGGTTCCCACACGCACCCGCGGCGAAATCTGTGAGAAAATTCAGCTTGACAAACTCGTGTGTCATTTTCATTCCCATCGTTGGACTTTCGCAATAGTCTCGTATGTCGTATCCTAACGYAACTCCCGGAAAGATTTCCGAATTGTTATTGATTAGCTCGACGGAGTAGATTAACGTCTCAGCAAATCCAAGACCRTATGGTCGAAGTTTACTGCAGACTTGTTCTTGTGAGGTTCCGTGGATGGGCAGAAGWACTCCTATGGTTAYATTTCCTGGCTTATAATAAACACTATTTGCATGCAGTCCTGGTACTAGTACTGAACACAAACCTAGAAACACCAATCTCCTCAATAGAACCATTTTACCAGATAATACCATTTTACCAGATAATACCATTTTACCAGATAATACCATTTTACCAGATAATACCTGCAACAGAAAATCGCAAAACCACTCGTTATTTGATCAGAATTCAMGGTGACTCCTCCTACGCACGCAACCCTTCATTTGACCCTTTTTGGGATCCGTATGGCGAGGTAACGTAATCCTGCAGTTTTTTCCTGAAGTCTTATCAGAAAACAGGYAGCCCAAAGGAATAAAAAGAGGAAAAAATTGGAGAGGCCCCCTGCGGAGGAGTTGTTACCTAGGTGGAACCGAAAGGCTTCATGGGAAGTATTGTGACGTCAAAATAGGTTAGTTTCTGTGCAATCTTATAGTTTCGAACCGGAAGTATAAAAGGGAGGATTCGTTTTAAGTGATTTTCAATTCTGTTCTGTATTGTCAACCACAATGACATCAGTGCTGTGCYCCTTGGGCGGAAATCGCTAAGTTAAGTTGAGTGATATTATTAAGCAATTAAATATAGATAGCAATAAACTTTTGTATGAAGAAGAAAAGTAGGACGGTACAATTACTAAGAGATGATATCGTTTCAAAATGGATCTAAAAATGAAGAAAAATCAAAACGTTTTTAACACAAAACAACGCGATAAAATGCGTTACACTTAAATATATATCGTGTTATTTTATTTTTATTTTTTATATTATATTAGAATAAGAGGCTCCCGATATGGGTATGATATTGGTTCGACACGGTTTCGAACTGATTACAGTACGGTCACGATATAAATTCAAATCTGTTCTTTACGTTACCCGCTCACACGATGTACATTTCGCGATATTGAACGGCGATTTGCGCAAATCACTGAAGGATAAAAAACATTTTCACCTGAGAAATTTCGTAACCAAYAACGAAAACAGATAAAAATAGGACAAAATCAGTAACGGATTATCATTTGATGCGAATATCTACAACTTGGTTATTTCATCAAAGAAAAAAAATTGTTTGGAACTAAAATAATTTTTTCCAGCATTCATTTTGTAGGTGGGTTACCCTGGGCATTTCGTAAAGTCGAAATTACGACCTGATAAAATGGAWAAAATAATACTAATGTTTTACGACAGCTGAGAGAAGCGTAAGATAGTAAAATTGTTTAAATAAATTAAGTATACATACTGTGATAAGAATAAGTCCTCAAATACAGTTGTCTTTGACGGTCTGCAGTCCCTCTCTAAACTAGTTTGTGTGGTGGTCATTATTTTAATGTCCTTGTGTGTTATGATTGGATGGAGCTACATGTCACGTGATCAAGTTGATCGACTATCATTGGTCGAACCACCATAATAGAATTTCCTTTGTTTAATGATGCATTTTGCGGTCTTAGATGTAAAAATAGTTTTTAGCGGATTCAGTTTTGACGAAGGATTGTACTCAGTCAAGCTCAATTCTTAGAATTGTCGAGAGTTTCGTTTTTTGTTCAATTAACGGTTGTTTCGTTTTGTATTGTATTGTTAGCCACTAGAGCTTTTAATACCTAAATCAAATGATTATTAATCTTGAGACGAATACTACTGAACTATTCAAATATGAATAATAATCTTGTAGCTGTCTAAATACGAGTTTTACTCTTAGGCCAACCTAACGAGAATGTTTGCTGTTTGTGAAATGAAATAT